TAAAATACAATGCTTTAATAGTTATACAATCCTGATGTGAAAACTGTGCATTTAAAAATGTTACATATACATAAAAAAAGTATTGCCTATGTATCTAGTTAAATTTAGGTGGCAATTATCTACACAACTGTTCACTGACAAAGCAGTGCTAAGCATCAAATAATCAAAAAATTACAGGCAATTTATACTCATTAATGCTGTATTTTACAGGGTGCAAACAAAGAAAAAGTGAAAACATAACTACTGGAGTTAAACACTAAAATACCTCTCATGAAAGATCTATAAATATCTTTAAAATAATGTTCCTAATTCAATCATTCAATCAGTGGTCCTAATCCAACCATTGTATGTTTTTATAATGACAATAAAGGTATCTTATGTCTTATCAATGGCTTGATAAGATTCCTTGGTGGATTAATCAAGGACTCAGCTGGAATTAAAAAGCGCCAACATAATGAGGTCCCGGGTCTTCATCTGACCACCCACACATGCCACAAATCGGTAAATCTGTCCTGCCCAGCATCTTGGCTGTTCTAAGGTGAGGCAGCTACAGTGATCTATCAAGGTGGCTCAGGAAGGTGGCATAAAATATACAATTCAAAGTATCTACAGCTAGACTACATGAAGTCAAAGTAAGCCTGGCGGCCATGACCCCGATCGCCCACTGAGCGCCTTAATAACGGAGCATGCCATTGTCATCCCTGCTCTGCAACTCGCGCACTTTCACAGCCGGAGATCCCCCACAGCATTCACAAGGACCACATCAAAGGACTGAATAATCCACATGATCTCAGAGCAGGGTGTGTAAGGCAGGGGGAGAGAAAGAGAGAGAGAGAGGAAGACAGAAAGAGGAAGAGAGTGAGAAAGAAGGAAGGATAGACTGAAGTAACTTAAGAATTTGGGACAGCAAATGTCATCCTTTCTTTAAAGGAGATAAATTGACTCATTTATTTATTTCTTTTTCTTTTTTTCCCTTAATCACAAGAAATGACTGGTAGCTATATTTTTTAGTTTAAACCAGGGATGTCAAACTGCAGTCCTGGGGGGCCGGAGCCCTGTGTAGTTTAGTTCTTTCCCTGTTTCACCACACGATTCAGCTCAAGAGCTGTGTGTTAATTAGCACAAGTAGTTGAATCAGGTGTGTTAAATGAGGGGAAACCCAAAAATGTGCAGGGCTCTGGTCGTCCAGGACTGTAGTTTGACACCCATGGTTTAAACAAACATGGATTGGACAGAGGCCTTCAGTCTTGTGGTGCTTTTCCACTGCCATCAAAAATAATTTTTTGGTGATCAGTGTGGACACACCACAACAAAATGTGTCTGCTGCATTTAACCCATATGTGACATCATGACATAGCAGGGGGCAGCTAATTCAGCACCCAGGGAGAAGTGCTTGGGGTGGTACTTTACACAGGGTACTTTGCTGGTTGGGGAACCAGCAATCTTTCAATTACAAGTGCGCTTCCCTAACCATTAGGCCACCACTGCCCACAAAGAACTGACCCATACTATGAATTGGCAGTTTTCCATTGTAAATTGTCCAAAGAGTGCTGAAAGCATGACCAAACCAAGCTGCCTGTGTCACCACTACCTGATTGGTTGAAATACACAGAGATAATGGTTTTCTGCAAACAGATTATCTGAATGAAAGAGGGTATATATATGTATATATAATATATATATAATTTATTATTAGTAATATCACATCGCAATGTATTGATGAATTTCTGATGATTTGGATAACTGAAAATTTCCAGCCTCCTACTTAAATTACTATAGAACAACTTAACAGAATTGATTCATAATGCAAATGTAGCACAAGCAAATTCTAATTCAACTAGCGTTTAATGCTTGCATAACACTGAGATTCTCACAGATGTGCTAGAAAATTAGAAAATTAGCACATTGTAAATCATGATGTACACAGTGTGAACAGTAAATAAGTGTCTCTTCTGTTTTACATCACTGCCGCTCTCCAAACACAGCAACGCCTTCAGCAAGCCGACTCTTCTGCAGTGGAAAACCGAAGTGAACTGGAACGGCACTGTAACTGGCCTCTCTTCACAGTATGGCTTGGTACGGTTCGGTTCCTATATGCCAGTGGAAAAGTGCCATTGTTTTAATCATAATCTAATACTGGGCTGCTGACCTCCATTATGCTCATGGTTCATTTAGGTCCAGCCCCTCTCCCATCTCTGGCTGCCCAGGGAACACCCCCCTGCTCACAGCACCTGTGGTCTGTGTTCCCCCTCTCGCGATGTGGTCCAGACAATAGCTCCCACTGTAACCAATACATCAGTAAGCTGGGATCTCAGCACAGCCACTGTGTGGGTGATTGATGTTTGTTCCCGGTTTTGGAGTCAGAAAACAGAAGGAGGCTGTGCTGGTTGGTTAGTGATCAAGATGCAGGCTGTCCCAGGCTGGCCTCCATTTCACCCCGAGGTTCACGAGGACCTGACACCAGTCCTGAACTTCTTTAATCTCCTTCTGAGAGCCAGGAGCCAAAGAAAAAAATGATTAATTTCAGCTGGGGAGAGGTACTCTCCCCAGCCAAGGTACTTCGGTGATAAAAGGGACAAGGAAGTGGGGGCCTTAAGCATCGGTTTATGTTCTTACATATTTAGCAACATACAGATGAGAAATCATGGAGTTAATGGCCTTGCTTAAGGCCCCAAAGTTGAAATCAATCTGCCGATTATGGGATCTGAACCAGCGACCTTCTGATTATACATTTGCATGGAAAAGATTGTCAAAGGGTAAGACTATGAGGAAGGATTACCCAAAGAACTGAATGCGTGGCAAATGGCCGTACTGCATCAGACTGTGGACGAGTGGCCGATCCAATGTGATGGGAGCATAAAGCAACAGTACAAAGGGGAGGTGACAGAGGTGCACGCTCAGCCACCCATGCTGCCAATAAGTCACTATTAATTATTCCAATGCATCCCAACGACATTGCTGCTGTTGCTTATTACTGCTAGGCTTGCAGAAACTCTCCTCCCCACAAACGGTCCTTTACGTTAACAAATACGGCCAGCCCAGGCATCGCAAAGAGGGAAAGGCAGGCCAGGATAGAGGAACAGAGTATCCCCATGGCTCAGATTAGGGGCACAGGGAACTGTGAATGAAGGGTGCTGGGAGAGAGGGAGAGGGAGTGAGAGAGTTGATTGACCGCTGAGGATTTCAGCCTGCATTCCCACTGTTTGTGTGATTGTAATGAGTGGCTGTCTGTCAGTCAGTTCCACTCCGGCGGACCGTACGTGTAGACGGGCCTCCAGTACCATTCTTTTATCAGGATTTAGCTGAGCAGAAGGCCAGAAAACTGAGAACTTTGTTGATGCTAAGCTAGTCATGTGTCGTTCACCTGTCCGGCGCCGTCTCTCTTAGGAGAGGAGAGCATAAGCAGTGGGTGCTGGACACCACACTCTATTTACACTGAAGCCCGTGTCTTGGTGCCAGACGAACTCTAACACATCCTTCCATCTGCCTGACATGCAGTTAGGAGCCCAGCTAATGCCGTCAGACAGGGGAAAGTTGTACTCCAAGCTCATCCAATAAAAGACTCTTAGAAGGATGTCTCCTGATGCCCTGACACCAGAGTCAACTCCACTGCAAAAAGCACATTTTTTTGTTACTGGCACATTAAAAATCAGTGAAACAGATTTAATAGACTGCAAGAATTAATATCCATTTTAAAAAACTCAATTAAAACTCCAGTTTTTCTTGTCAAATCAAGTTTGGTGCCTCCGAACACAGTTTACAACTGAACTGCCAACTTTCTTCAAAAAATAGAGACAATAAAGCCACTTAAAATTAAAATCCTCTTAAGATATGATGTGTAAAGGGCTTATATCTAAAGAGACTTACACAGCCTACAATTTTAGAATTGGAAAACTTTTAATATTTACTGAAGGACACACCAGGGGTTCTTTACCTAGAATTAAACCAGCAACCACAAGTCTGCTCCTTAATCATCACACCCCCTGCTGACGCAATGCATTGCACAGCGAAAACTGACCCACTTAAAGATTCATAATGACCACAGTTATTTAGCTCTTACTTGATCTGCACAGTAGTGCTGAAAAACCTGTGCAGCCAAGGAGTTCATTGTAGGTATGTGTGACTAAGGGTCAACTAAGTCAGGGTGGGGGTGGGGGGATGACCTCTGGGAGAGTTGATATTGCTGCTCCAGTTTCTGGTCAGGACAAACCCTGGGTCACAGACATATGTGAGATGTCAGGCCAATCCCACTGCCATGTTAATGATGACTGATCTCTTCCAATTAGATGTCCTGACAGGTCCTTAAGTCCTTTGTCATTAATCACACCCGCTACCTTGTGAAAGTGAATATCACGCCTTGATTTATGATTCCACCCTGTTTCATCTTCCTCTTCTTTTCTATTCTCCAACCTCACCTTCATTCTTGCCTTTTGTGCTTGGAGGTTTAGGGATTTTGCAGTTCTAGTGATGGCCAATAAATCAATTCTCTGACAGGCATTGTGCTTTTGAATTTGAAAAGGAAGAAAGCTTTTTTTGTGAGATGGACACATATATTTTTAAAGAAATTACAAGACACCACAGACGGTATTCTAAATCATACAGATGAAAAAGTATGACAAGAAAAGAAAAAAAAACTTCATGAATGATACTGGGAGATACCTTGTATTTCATGGGTTCAAAATTAGACCACAATGCAACAGGTAACACCTGAGCACAAAAGTCCTGTCTATCCCTCTCTGACACAGAAGAACAGAGGACTTTGTAACTTTGCACTTCATTTAGGGGCAACATAGGTCATGTAGTTGTCTTGTGAAGATCCAGGCAGGAATGCTAACAATGAAATGAATTTTACAGTGGTCTGAACTCTGGCTTTGGCACCAATGGTCAGAGAAATACAGTGTGGATGTATTAACTGTGAGAGAAGAGAGGGCATTGCTGGCCAAATTCATTCCAAATGGGAGGAAACAGACATGAGCAGCACAGAAATAAGCTGTACTTACGATGTCTGACTCCGCCTTGGAATCATAGTACTCGATGTCTTTCTCCTGCAATAAAACAAAGAAATATAGGATTTATGAGACATGTAATGAAATGCAGTGGTATATGGTCCTAGCACATGTACCTTATAGTGCTTTTCCATTGGTATACAAGGACCAGGAAGTACCTGTCCCATACCATAGAGAGAGAATAGTTACAGCGCAGTTCCAGTTCACTTCAGTTTTCCACTGCAGAAAAGTCATTGTCGAGTTTGGAGAACTACAGCATCGTAAAACCGAAGAGATGTTTATTACTGTTCACCCGGTCTACATCATGATTACTGTTTCCACTAGCACCTCTGTGAGAATCTCTGTGTTATGCTGGCATCAAACGCTTGCAGAATTTGCATTAGCTTGCGTAAATTTACATTACGAATCCATTCCGTTCAGCTGCTCTATAGTACTTTTTTATGTAGAAGGTTGGGAATTTACTGATAATGAATATTAAACAGAATACTCCTTTTTTTCAGATAATCCATGCATATTAACACAGATCACTGGTATTTCCATGCATTCTGACGAATCAGATGGAAATGACACAACCAGCCCAGTCTGGTCACACTTTGGCCCTGCTAGTCAGCGCAGGTCCAGCCTGAATACTGCTCTCATAATTTGCAATGGGAAACCATCTTGGGTGTGTGGAAAAGTTATGTTCTCTTCCAGTCTGTTAAGAACTACACTCTCCATGCCTTGTGCTGTGGGCTGTTACTCCATGGTAGGATGATTCTCTAGTGTATATGAGCAAAACCATACAGTACGTGAAGTTAACTGACAATGTGAAACACTGTCTCTGTACCACTGAAAAGAAAAACTACTCACCCTTCTGTGATTAAAAAAAACACTTAAGATAGCTGAAAGTGACTCTAAATTTGAGGAGAAGGAGCCTAGAATGTCATGCTTCACTTGCCAACTTCCTCTCATGATTATTGTAGGCTCCTCTCAGTTTCCTATTGGCTAAGACTGGCTGGTATATATACTTTTTACTTGACTGGATTCTCCAGTTCATGTCATGTCCAACGAGGGGATTAATTATAGCACTGTGAAGAACATACTGGTTATTAGCCTAGACTGCATTCACAGACCTACTTAAAGTCAGTTTGGAGAACTTCTTTGGTGGACAGAGAAGAGGAGGAAGAAATAAAGAGGCAATGAATGAAATGAATGTAGCAGAGTGAGGAAATATACAGGAGGAGGACATCCGAAACATAAATGTATAATTTAACTTTTCTGATAATCAATAGGAAAATCCCTTATTTGTATGTCTCTTAAATCTTCATTGGGAAAGAACGAAGAAAAGAAAAGTCCTGCCTCCCATTGGTGTGATGCAGCAGGTGTTTTGCAGACTAGAAACCTGCCTCCCATCCATGTGATATAGCAGGTGTTTTGCAGATTAGAGACCTGCCTGTCATTGGTGTGATACAGAAGGTGCTTTGGAGACTAGAAACCTGCCTCCCATTGGTGTGATACAGAAGGTGCTTTGGAGACTAGAAACCTGCCTCCCATTGGTGTGATGCAGCAGGTGTTTTGCAGACTAGAAACCTGCCTCCCATTGGTGTGATGCAGCAGGTGTTTTGCANAAACCTGCCTCCCATTGGTGTGATGCAGCAGGTGTTTTGCAGACTAGAAACCTGCCTCCCATTGGTGTGATGCAGCAGGTGTTTTGCAGACTAGAGACCTGCCTGTCATTGGTGTGATACAGAAGGTGCTTTGGAGACTAGAGAGAGAGGAGAAGGCAGCGGAGCAGGCAGAATGTGGGGCAGACAGCACTATGCAGCCTCTGTCAGAGTCACTCCCTGTTACAGAGTGGGACACCCAACACACAGATTGTAAGGCTACACGCAATACCCTTCAATTGGATACAGTGCGCTGTTCATTTCATATAACTGCACAAGCTATATCTATAGATCACCTTATCTACATATATATAGGTGTGGGGGCGTGTGATCACTCACGCAGCCCAGTTTGCTGGCATTCATTTCAGCTCCCCCTCGTTCCCCTTCATGTGTGTGCTGTTTCGTTTGCCTGTCTGTGAGTAACATGCAACCTAGTTTCACACCAATTCTTAAATCCTTAAATCTTCCCCTGTTTAACCACGTCTCCTTTCAACCTCAATTCTAAGGGTATTTATTTTTTCCATGACTTAATATTTATTTTTTTGACTTAATATTTATATTTGTGCCATGCCACCCTCCCCCATCCCTGTCCCTGTCCTCATGTGACCCAAAAAGAATCCTGCCAAAGACTTGGCAGGCTTTTAGTGCCTTGTGCCCCTGTGTCACATGCATTTCACACATAAATTACAAGCACAGTATGTTCATATATTGTAAAATTAACATTGTGTCCATTCAGAATGAATATCATGATAATGCTGCTCAGACTTACAATAAACCTGGATTGCTTTACATACAGATAATCTGCATACTTAATCCATGCTTTTATTGTCTCTGGAATGCTAGATAATGTCAGATTGTCACAGCATGTCAAAGGGGAGCATAGACTTTATTACCTTAGCTTAGGATGACTTCCTCTACCATCTCAAACCCCCTACATTATGAACCCATAGACCTCGTAGAGTGTGAGCCCAGTAGGGATGGTGGGACACAGGTTGCATATCTTAATGAGCTAACAGTCACCCCTACAGGCTCATACCAGCCAGCAAAACTCATCCTCAGCAGAGTATAAGAGCTTCTGTTTCCCCACCCTAAACTCACTGTCACATCCATCCTCCAAAACCTCTTCTTGCTGCCATACTTCCATTTGCTGAGCTAATAATTTATAATTAGCTGGACTGTAACATTTCCAGCACTGCCCATAGTCCAATCGGATTTTTACATTTTCACTATTGATTTATCAGGCACATTAGCGGGAAATCTGTGAAAGAAGAGATCATGCAACAAAAGCACTGTTGGACCGCACCTGCGTGCGCTCACACACACACTCACACACACTCACACACACGCACACACACAGATCTGGACAAAAAGGTCCGCTTATCTCCAGAGCAGAGGTGGCCCAAAAGTCATCTCGGCACGGCCCTGACGTGGAGCCGCCTGGACGCCACGCTGTTGGCCATGGCCCCTGCGGGACCTGCCTTGTTATTATTCTGTCCCCGACAGAAACGCGCCTTCTCAAGGGCACCGTGGCTGAGCACCACATCCCCCCCCCATCCCTGCCGCGCTGCACCAAGTCAGCGCAGGTCATGCTTTGAAATAAGAGGATATGAGGGGAGGGCTGGTGTACCATGCCGCTTAGGGCCTCAGTCTCCTTGGCATGGCGCTGCTGCTTTCTGAGACCCATTACGATGGGCCGCTACCATGCACACGTGCTAAGAGAGATGCCAGCATTTCCATTATTCATCTGTTTTTAGCCAAATAACTGAGCGTGCTGTGAAAAGGACACACATTTCCTTTCCAGCAAACTCTAACAACATGTCCTTCGCTCCATTAGGAGAATATTGCTCCTTTTAAAATCACACATTGCTTTGGTTGCAAAACATCTAAATGGAAACAACACAACATTTGGGCATAAGACATTAAAGTATTTATATAATTTTATATAAACGACAAAGACAAAAATGCAAACTAAAAAATAGTAAAAAATACTAAAAACATTATTTGTGGCTCCCTCCCTCTCTACCTCACCTCTTTCCCCTTCCCCTCTCAGCCTCGGCTCCTTCGCCTTCCCCTCTCTGCCTTGCCTCCTTCCCCTTCCCCTCTCAGCCTCAGCTCCTTCCCCTTCACCACATAACTTCTCCTCCTTCCCCTTCCCCTCTCAGCCTCGGCTCCTTCGCCTTCCCCTCTCTGCCTTGCCTCCTTCCCCTTCCCCTCTCAGCCTCAGCTCCTTCCCCTTTCCATCTCTGCCTCGGCTCCTTCCCCTTCACCGCATAACTTCGCCTCCTTCCCCTTCCCCTCTCAGCCTCGCCTCTTTCCCCTTCCCCTTTCAACCTTGGCCCCTTCCTGTTTGGTAATTGCTATTGCGCAAACCCGGAGTAAGAAGTCAGGACATGGGACAGATGGGGCTGGAAATAGCCTGGCCCCTTAGAGAGACTGACCCTGCAGAAGGCGCCACTGAATTGCGACGGTAAGAATCGCTGATATTGCGTCTCCCTTCCCTCCCTCTGTCTTTCTTTATCACTCTCTGTCCTCTGGCGGCAGCAGGTGATGCGTGTCCTTCTCCACTTCTCCGTATGTTCAGTCCTGCCACTCAGTTTGTCTTTCTTAAAAAGTGTCAACTGGCCATAAGAGCAGAATGACAAAGAAAGTGTCGGTTTTGCTTGATGGATGTGGAAAACTAACGCCAAGGAGGTGGCACTTTAGGAGCCTCAGAGTACACTGACCTTAAGCTAACTGTCACCATTTAGCAAAGGAATACTACAAATAGCAGTCCGCTCCTTTTCAGTTATCCTTCTGTCATAAATCAATCACTACTTTGCTATTCACTGCACTATAATCTCCACTAAATGACAAATGAATTCTGTGCCTGAATGGCAGCTAAAAGGCCAAGACACAGCATCTCAGATTTGATCAGTTCAGTGCTCTGCATACATATTTCTGTTGCAGGTGCTTATCCTGTTGAACCATGGAAAATCAAAGGAAAAGCACACTACAATCTAACACAATGACATAGAAGTTCTGACTGGAAAATATGGGAACCAAATATTATTTATACTGATGAAAAAATATAATCCACAGCGAGCAGCAAATAAGGAGATCATTTAAAATAGTCAGTCTACATAGTTTATATGTAAGGCTGTGAGATAGAGCAAAATATTTTATCATGACCATTTTTTTCATGATGCTGATAACTATCACGATACAATTCAAATCATTATTTATTTGCTTCAATGCTCCATTTTAGCTTAAAATTCCCTTAGAATTTCCCTTAAACAGAATCACAACATGGAAAAGGCATGAAATTGACAGCAAACTGAAATCTAATTTCTATCAATAAATTGGTCATAAAAGTAGAAAACACTTACAGTACAATTTGTTGCTAGGATTTTTCTCTGA